ATATGACTATATATATATATATGACTATATATATATATATATATACACACACATATTTAAAGCCAGTCAAATTTAGCAGTGGGGGATTGTATACCAACTTTAGTGACACTAATGTTAGTAAGTTCTGATAATCTACTACCATCAGACCAGCCTACCTTTGACAATATTGAATGCAAATTAACATCTTAAAATAATGATTAAAAATTCCAGCACTTTGAGAGACTGAGGCGAAAGGACTGCTGGAGCCCAGGAGTTCAACGCCAGCTTGGGCAACATGGCAGAACCCCAAATTAGCCAGATGTGATAGTCCGTGCCTGTAATTCCAGCTGCACGGGATGCTGAGGTGGAAGGATTGATTGAGCATGGGAAGTCGAGCCTGCAGTGAGCCGTGGTCACACCACTGCACTCCAGCCTGGGTGACGGAGTAAGAACTTATCTCAAACTAAAAAGTAAAAATTTTAAAAAGCGAGAATGTTAAAACATAATAATTTTTAAAAACTGTTTTACAAAAGAAATGTGTCCTTGCTAATACTTGACATTGTCAGCCATTTTTGGTTAAAACTTGATGGTGGGTACATAGTAGCACCTAATCGTGAAAAGACCATTGTTAACTTGCAGAACACCTCATCTGTATACTCAAGGTAGGAAAGGAATAATGTCGTGGTAGATTAGTGCATGGAGCCACGTGTGGTTTGTAGACTCATAGGATTGATGACTAGGTTTTTTGGAACTTGTAAACAAACCCAGGTCTGAAGATTTTAATAGATGAAGGTAACTTCTTAAAAGTGTGCATTTTAGAAAAATATTGTAAAATAGCCAGGAGTGGTGGCTTACGACTGTAATCCCAGCACTTTGGAAGGCCGAAGTGGGTAGATCACCTGAGGTCAGCAGTTCAAGACCACCTGGGCAACCTGGTGAAACCTCGTCTCTACTAAAAATGCAAAAAAGTTATCCGGGCGTGGTGACACACCCCTGTAATCCTAGCTACTTTGGAGGCTGAGGCAGGAGAATTGCTTGAATCCAGGAGGTGGAGGGGGCAGTGAGCAGAGATCATGCCACTAAACTTGAGCCTGGGCAACAGAGTGAGACTCTGTCTCAAAAAAAAAAAAAAAAAAAAAATCAATAAGAAAAATGTTTTCAGTTTTTAAAGTTCCTGCTATACCTATCTAATTCTCATTTAAAAATTTGTCACTGAAGTTCATACCAGAAAATAATGTAACTATTTTAAATGAGAATTAGATAGGTATAGCAAGAACTTTAAAATAATATAATAGGGCCCTTCTTGCAAAGGAGGTACATAAATTTAGAAATACAAATTTCACTTTAAGAAGAGAATGAACTTTAATTATAGGGAAAAAAAAGAAGCAAACAATTTGCCCCTTAAATGTCTATTCATATACTGGGCCATAAATTGACTTGTTTGTATTGACAAGAAATCTAAAGAAAACAGAAATTTAATATCCAGGCAGCTAAGCAGAATCAACTTATCTGTTGATTGATTAATCAAGGTGAGGTGAAAGTCACAGTAGGAACTGTACTCAATTCTTTATAATAAATGACAAATGTTTTCTGCTTCTCGATATTCATTTTGAAGAGATAAGAACTCTCTTGATGTCAAATTGATTTCCTAGAGAGGCTCTTTTTATTTATTTTTTACGTAAATTTTTTTTTAAATCATCCATCCCAAAATGTCAGAGAGGCTCTTTTTACTCATCTAAATTATAAGTCTTTCCCTCTATATTTGTATTTTTGTTAGTTTTATTCAACGTGTTGTAGATAATGCATAAAATGATAAATTATTTTTACTTTTTGTTTTGTTTGAGACAGAGTCTGACTTTGTTGCCCAGGCTGGAGTACAGTGACGTAATCTCAGGTCACTGCAGCCTCTGCCTCCCAGTCTCAAGTGATTTTCCTGCCTCCCTAGTAGGTGAGATTACAGACTTGTGCCACCACGCGGGGCTAATTTTTATATTTTTTGTAGAGACAGGGTTTTGCTGTGTTGCCCAGGCTGGTCATGAACTCTTGGCCTCAAGCGATCCTCCCACCTTGCCCTCCCAACATGCTGGAATTACAGGCATGAGCCACTACACTTGGCCTGTTTATCTTTTTGCGATTGACTTCTTTTAATTAGCATAATGTCTTCAAGGTTTTTCCATGTTATAGCATATATCAGTATTTTCTTCCTTTTTAAGACTGAATCATATACCGTGGTATTTATATACCACATTTGTTTGTCCACTCCTCCACTGATGGACATTTGTGTTGCTTCCACTTTGTGGATATTCAGAATAATGCTGCTGTGAACATGAGCATGCAAGAGATTTTTAGTACAGGCATATACCTCACGTGTGTTACTTCATTGTGCTTTACTGATACTGCATTTTGTATAATGTGGAGGTTTGTGGGAACCTTGCATTGAGCAAGTCTATCAGTGCCATTTTTCCAATGGCACATGCTAATTTCTTGTCTTTGCATCACATTTTAATAATTCTTGCAATGTTTCAAACTTCTTCATCTTATCATTATTGTATCTGTTATGACAATCTTTAATCGGTGATCTTTGATGTCACTATTATAATTGTTTTGGAGTCTCATATAAGATGGGGCAAACAATTAGATAAATGTTATATATGTTCTGACTATTCCACTGACCGATCCTGTCTCTCTCCCTCTCCTTGTGCCTCTCTCTACCTTGAGATGCCACAATGTTGAAATTAGGCCAATTAATAATACTATAATGGCCACTTAGTGAAACAAAATGAAATAAAGAGTCTCGCATATCTCAGTTTAAATCAAAAGCTAGAAATAATTAAGCTTAGTGAGGAAGGCATGTTGAAAGCTGAGATAGGCTGAAAGCTAGGTCCTTTGTGCCAAACAATTAGCCAAGTTGTGAATGCAAAGGAAAGGTGCTTGATGGAAACTATAAGTGCTACTCCAGTGAACGCACAGATGATAAGAAAAGAAACAGCTTTATTGCTGATGTGAAGAAAATTTGAGTGGTCTGGATAGAAGATCAAACCAGCCACACCATTCCCCTAAATGAAAGACTAATCCAGAGCAAGGTCCTAACTCTTTTCAATTCTATCAAGTCTGAGAGAGGTGAGAAAGCTTCAAAAGAAAAGTTTGAACCTAGCAGATGTTGCTTCATGAGGTTTAAAGAAAAAAGCAGTCTCCGTAATATAAAAGTTCAGGGTGAAGCAATAAATGCTAACAGAGGAGCTGCAGCAAGTTATTTAGATGATCTAGCTAAGATTGTTGATGAGGTACCTACACTAAACAAAGATGTTCAATGTAGACAAACAGCCTTATGTTGGAAGAAGATGCCATCTAAGACTTTCATAGCTAGAGAGAAGTCAATGTCTGGCTTCAAAGCTTCAAAGCTTCAAAGGACAGGCTGACTCTCTTGTTAGGAGAGAGTTGGAGGTTTGTAGGAACCTTGGATCGATCAAGTCTATCAGCACCAGTGCTGGTGACTTTGTGTTAAAGCTAGCCCTCATTTACCATGCCAAAATTTTAGGTCCCTTAATAATTACGCTGAATTTACTCTACTTGTGCTCTATAAATGGAACAACAAAGCCTGATTGTCAGTACATTTGTTTTTAGTATGGTTTACTGAATATTTTAAGCCCACTGTTGAGATCTACTGCTTAAAAAAAAAAAAAAAAGATTCCTTTAAACATATTTCTGCTCATTGACCACACACCTGGTCACCCAAGAGCTCTTACGGAAATATTACAAGGAGATGAAGGTTGTTTTCATACCTGCTAACACAACACCCATTCTGCAGCCTATGGATCAAGAAATAATTTTCAATTTCAACTCTTATTATTTAAGAAATATATTTTGTATGGCTTTAGCTGCTATAGATAGTGATTCCTCTGATGGTTCCGGACAAAGTAAATTGAAAACCTTCTGGAAAGGATTCACCATTCTAGATGCCATTAAGAACATTCGTGATTCATGGGAGGAGGTCAAAATGCAACATTAATGAGAGTTTTGGAGAAGTTGATCCCAACTTTCATGGATGACTTTGAGAGATTCAAGACTTCAGTGGAGGAAGTCACTATAGAAGGTGCTGGAAATAGCAAGACATCTAGGATCAAAACTGGAGCTTGAAGGGTGTGACTGAATCTCATTAAAAAACTTGATTAGATGAGGAGTTGCTTCTTATGGATGAACAAAGAAAATGATTCATTGAAATGGAATCTACTGGTGAAGATTGACTGTTGTAGAAATGACAGCAAAGGATTTAGAATATGACATAAACCTAATTGATAAAACAGTGGCAGAGTTTGAGAGGATTGACTCCAGTTTTGAAATAAGTTCTACTGTGGGTAAAATGCTATCAAACAGCATCACATGCTACAGAGAAATCTTTTGTGAAAGAAAGAGTCAATCAATGTGGCAAACTTCATTGTTGTCTTATTTTAAGACATAGTGCCCCAGCCACCTTAACCTTCAGCAACCACCATTCTGATCAGTTAGCAACCACCAACATTGAGACAAGATCCTTCACCAGCACATAGATTACAACTCACTGAAGGCTCAGATGGTTGGTAGCATTTTTTAGCAATAAATTATTTTAATTAAGGTATGTACATTGTTTTTTAGACATAATGCTATTGAACACTTAATAGACTACAGTATAGTGTCAGCATAACTTCTATATGCACTGGGAAACCAAACTATTTGTGTGACCAGTTTTATTGCCATATTTACTTTATTGCAGTGGACTGGAACCAAACTTTCAATATCTCCAAGGTATTCCTGCGTTTAAAAAAAAATATTCCCCAAATTATCCTAATGTGCCGCCAAGGGAGAGACCCACTAATAGTGTTTCTAAACTTAGAAGACAGTCCTATGTTAGAAATCTAATATAAACCTTAATGTGAAGTTTTAAGAAAAACCATATGGCATCTATACATTACTTTAGAAAAAGATAGAAACATTGCATCTATTTTCTATTTTGAAGTTGAGTTTTTTTTGGTCTTGAATTTAAGGTGTTACTGTGGCCGACTGATTGGAGACCATGCTGGGATAGATTATTCCTGGACCATCTCAGCTGCCAAGGGTAAAGAAAGTGAACAATGGTCTGTTGAAAAGCACACAATGAAAAGTCCAACAGATACTTTTGGCACGATTAATTTCCAAGATGGAGAGCACACCTCCCATGCCAAGGTTTGCTAATAACCCAAATTTTTTTGCTGGTTTCTTTTTTTTGAGACGGAGTTTTGCTTTTGTCGCCCAGGCTGGAGTGCAATGGCGGGATCTTGGCTCACTGCAACCTCTGCCTCCCGGGTTCAAGCGATTCTCCTGCCTCAGCCTCCCGAGCAGCTGGGACTACAGGCACCCACCACCACAACCGGCTAATTTTGTAATTTTGGTAGAGATGGGGTTTCTACTAACAGGTTTCTGCCTGTTTGAAGTATTTCTGCCTTCACATTTTTCAATAACTGCACCATTCCTGATGTTCAGAAATTTTAATATTTTAATTTTGGAATAAAGGAATTATGTATCAAGAAGTTCACGCTGGGCACATTGACTCATGCCTGTAATCCCAGAACTCTGGGAGGCCAAGGCAGGTGGATCACCTGACGTCAGGAGTTTGAGACCAGCCTGGCCAACATGGCGAAAACCTGTCTCTACTAAAAAATACAAAATTTCGCTGGGTGTGGTGGCACGGGCCTGTAATCCCAGCTACTCAGGAGGCTGAGGCTGGAGAATCACTTGAACCTGGGAGGCGGAGGTTGCAGTGAGCTAAGATTGCACCACTGCACTCCAGCCTGGGTGACAGAGTGAGACTTCGTCTCAAAAAAAAAAAAAAAAAAAAAAAAGTAGTTCAAAGATGAATCGGAAATTGTTTTAAATTACTGTCACATTCTGGAGGATCATGTGTTAATTCCTATTTGCATGTGTGGAGATCTTTGCCTGTGGTTGTTTTTGTTTCATAATTCATGGTTTCTTATTATCCTTACTTCTTCCTATAAATCTGACTTACTCTTGCTGTTGGTTCACATAAGTTCGAGGGAGGCAAATTCATCTCAGTGTCATTTGAATGATCTGCATTTGCGGGAAGAAGGAAGCCAGCCATGCAATATAATCTTAGGTAAAATAAAAAATGATTCTAGGGCTACCTGCTGGCTTTGATTTCCCTCATCTTTTCTTTTGCTTACATAGACTATTAAAGAGATGACTATTTTGTGAAAAGTATTTTGGAATGAGAGTGTTTTCAGAGGAATAATGGTTAAAAGGTAAAATTTACAGTTTTAAGGGAATGATCAGAAGGTAAAATTTACAATAAATTAAATGTCCATGCTCTTGAATTTTAATTTAAATAGTGCAAATATGTGAAATGGTTAAGTAAATGGAAAGCCATAGCATTTATGAAAAATCCCATTTCACCTATTTGTTATAGCTTCTGATGAAAAGGTTTGCTGACACAGTGATTTTGGCCAGTTGTTTGAAGTATTTCTTTCTTTCTTTCTTTTTTTTTTTTTTCTGAGACAAAGTCCTGCTCTGTCACTTATGCTGGAGTGCAGTGGCGTGGAGTGAGTGATCTCAGCTCACTGCAACCTCCGCCTCCTGGGCTCAAGCAATTCTCCTGCCTCTGTCTGCCAGGTAGCTGGGATTACAGGCATGTGCCACCATGCCTGGCTAATTTTTTGTATTTTTAGTAGAAACGGGGTTTCACCATGTTGGCCAGGCTGATCTTGAACTCCTGACCTCAGGTGATCCACCCGCCTCGGCCTCCCAAAGTGCCGGAATTACAAGCATGAGCCACTGCACCCTGCCTGTTTGAAGTATTTCTGCCTCACCCCAGGTTCTCTGGAGAGCATTGGAGGGCCAGCCTTGAAAACCAGAGGAAGCTTTCCTACAGTGACCTGTAATTCCCAGAAGGAACTTAATGGGAGTGTGGGATCTTTTAAAAGTAAATATTTCCATTACCTGAAGATGAACTTTAAAGAGATCCCACATACTTCCTTTTAGATTTTGGCCATTTCAGTTGCCCTGCTGGGTGCTCATTGTTTCTGTGCCTGGCATGTCTTTTTTACAATGTTCTGTTCACCTACATGTGCTTTTCTTGCAGTATATTAGAACTTCTTATGATACAAAATTGGATCATCTGTTACATTTAATGTTGAAAGAGTGGAAAATGGAACTGCCCAAGCTGGTGATCTCAGTCCATGGGGGCATCCAGAACTTTACTATGCCCTCTAAATTTAAAGAGATTTTCAACCAAGGTTTGGTTAAAGCTGCAGAGACAACAGGAGCGTGGATAATAACTGAAGGCATCAATACAGGTAAAGCTCCCTCCCTCCCTTTCTCCCACCCTCCCTCCCTCCCTCCCTCTCTTCCACCTTCCCTTCCTCCCTCCCTCTTTCCCTCCTTTCTTTCTTTCTTTCTTTCGTTCGTTCTTAGTTTCTTTCTTTCTTTCTTTTCTTTCTCTCTCTCTTTCTTTCTCTTTTTCTTTCTCTCTCTCTTTCTTTCTTTTTCTTTCTCTCTCCCCTTCCTTCCTCCCTTCCTCCCTTCCTTCCTTCCTTCCTTCCTCCCTTCCTTCCTTCCTTCCTTCCTTTTTTCTTTCTTTCGTTCTTAGTTTCTTTCTTTCTTTCTTTTCTTTCTCTCTCTCTTTCTTTCTCTTTTTCTTTCTCTCTCTCTTTCTTTCTTTTTCTTTCTCTCTCCCCTTCCTTCCTCCCTTCCTCCCTTCCTTCCTTCCTTCCTTCCTCCCTTCCTTCCTTCCTTCCTTCCTTTTTTCTTTCTTTCTTCCTTCCTTCCTTCCTTTCTTTCTTCTCTCTTTTTTCTCCTAACTGTGAATCAGGTAGTGTGCCACATAATCTCTGCTCTGTAGTGCTCCTAGGATACGTGGGGCTGTGAGGAAGAAAGATCCTAGTGACTAGAAAATAAACCCAGAAGAATCATAGATTTTTCCTGGAATGTGTTTTTGCCATTGTCAGAATATACTATTTTAATGTAACTTCAGATAAACCTCTGGCAAAGAAAATAGTCTTTCCTGAGCTCCCAACTACAGTAAGGCTAGAAGGGACATGAATCCATGCAAGTGCATAGTGTGTGTAGGCCTGGACTTTCGCTAAACTCTTGTAATCATTGTCAGTTTCTCAGACTTGAGAAATCAGTGATGTGGGTAAAACTTGCATTGTGTGTTTTGGGCGTCAGTAAATACTTTTCTTTTTCTTTTTAACTACATGATTGCCAAAACACTCACCGTCTCAATCACTGACTCTTTTACACTCCTTGAAATCTGAAATTCAAGAACTTTATATGGTGGGCTCTGACCGTATTTCTTTGATTCAGTGTGTGTGAACTGTCCGCACGGAAGGACAACCTGGGGAGCTTTTAAAGTACTGATGTACAGGCTGTTCCCCAGATGAATTAGAGGCTTTTGTCCAGAGCTACTGAAGCATGTCAGCCAGGATTGAGAACTAGTGATTCCATAAACTCTTGTCTCTTACCAATTTGTTACTAACCTGTGGTTTTCTTTCTTTTTTTTTTTGAAATGAAGTCTCGCTCTTGTCACCCAGGCTGGAGTGCAATGATGCAATCTTGGCTCACTGTAACCTCCACCTCCCTGGTTCAAGTGATTTTCCCGCCTCAACCTCCCAAAGTGCCGGGATTACAGGCGCCTGTCACCATGCCCGGCTAATTTTTGTATTTGTAGTAGAGAAGCCATATTGGCCAGGCTGGCCTCGAACTCCTAACCTCAGGCAATCTGCCCACCTTGGCCTCCCAAACTGCTGGGGTTACAGGCGTGAGCCACCGTGTCCGGCCTAACCTGTGGTTTTCTATCTTCCCTTTACTTTTTTCTCTTTTGGTTTGGCATGCCCTGCCCAGTGTCTCCTATCAAATTTTGCTCATGTTTTAAGATCTACACAAGATGCCAACACACCCATGAAACAGCCTCCTGAATATCTCCACTAGAGCTACTCACTTTTGTCTTTAATGTCTACAGCATTTACTGCCTGTAGCACTTGTAGAATGTTGATATTTTGCCTTA